AAAAACAGCAAAAATAATAAAAATAAAATATATTAAAAAATAAATAAATACAAAAATGTTAAAGTATAATATTTTTAAAAATCATTAAATAAATAACTCGATGTTAAGAAATAAGTAGAGTAGAAGGGAAGAAGGTTTGCATGAGGTTGTTGTTTTTGTTTCACTTATGCTTCTTTTCCTTATAGCAAATAGCTTTTTGAATAGAGAAGTTCGCAGCGGAGTTGTTTTGTTGATTTTGTTATAGATGAATGAATGAAAATATTTTAAGTTATTTGCTTTTAAATGACCTTATGTATGGCTTAGGTATTACATATGAATGCCTATATTTACATGCATGCATACGTATATACATATGTATAACATATATAAAATATTAAAATAATATTACAATAAATTTTTTTAAATATAATTACTATAAAGTAGGTATTTAATTTTCTAATTTCCTTTCATAGTATTTTCCAATATATTCTTTGACTTGGTTTAAATGTTATATTTTATTATTAACGTTTGTATGCATAGAGTTGGTTTTTGGGTTGAATAATTCATTAAAGTGACTAAAACATATTAATTTTTGTATGCACATATAATATTATGTTTAGAAATAAAACACACATTATTAACACGACAACAAACATACATATGGATATGCCGCTTAGTTGAACTTGCAAAAAATATTTTTCGCATCGTCAACAAAACGTATGCCACAAGCATAGCCGTGCAGCTCTTCCGCAAGCCACAGCTCACAAAAATCAGAAGTTAAAGAAATTTCTGTACCCGCTGTGCACAAACATACTCTCAATAAGGTGAACAAATGTATTGTAATTCAGAAATGAATGTACCCAAAATGCCCCCGAAGCTTATGATTTCAATAAATATTTTTAGAATTTATGTCGAAAAAAGTTTGGAAATATTGAATCATTTCAAAATGTAGTAAAGTTTGGCAAAACTACAACTTTAATTCACAAAACCTAATGAACATAATCCTTTGAAGCAGTGTTCGCATGCACGCGCGCGCACTGTGCAAATCAGCGAAGTCGAATGTTGACGAAGTGCGCGCGGGGAGAAAAATTATTTCGTACATTTACTGAGTAAAAAGAAAAGAATTTGCTTTTTGCAATTTTTGCTTCTGGCGTAAGTTCATATTCCTATCGAAGGAGCCAACATAATTTATTCCAAAAAACTAATTTTTGTTTAGTATATTAATATTTTTTTAAATGAATAAAAAATCCATAATGTAATGAGCAAAAATTTAAAAAAAAATAAAAATGACATTTTTTTTGTTTGTTTTGGGCTGGTTATTACCGCGTGAATATGTACTTTGTATATTCGCCTTTTTTTTTTTGAAATAATAACCTTTTCTAATTAAAAATAATGAATCATTTGATTTTCATTGAATTTATTATATTTATATTGGTTTCACTTCTTTTGTCATCAATAACAGTCTTTCTCAATGCTAAACTATCAGAACTGTTAGTTTACAGCCAAATTTTAATAGAGTGGTGAGTCCCTTTCTCGAGATTTTCTAGCTCTGTAGAAAATTCAATTGCAACTTTTCGTTACTCTAAGTTCTTTGGTTCCATCGCCTGCGGTATTCAACTTTGCCAATGCGCAAAGGACCATAAATCTTACGCAAATCCTTTCTCTCGAAATCTCGCTGCGACTCATCAGATCCTGTCATTCCCATGCTTCCGCACCATGTAGCAGGACGGGAACGACGAGGGACTTGTAGAGTTTGGGAGAAGAAGACTGTACCATCTTTATTCTTCTCTGCAGCTTTTAATATTCTCTCCAGTATCAAATTGAAGAAATCACACGACAAAGAGTCACCCTGTCTAAAACCTGGTTTGGTACCAAACGGCTCGGAGAGGTCCTTTCCAATCTTGACTGGTGTTGTCTAGTGTCATCTTACACAGCCGTATAAGTTTTGCGAGGATACCAAATTAAGACATAGCGGCGTAAAGTCAGATCCTATTCGTGCCATCGAAGGCTGCTTTAAAATCGACGAAGAGATGGTGGGTGTCGATCCTCTTATCATCTTCTTCCAAGATTTGGCGCATGGTGAATATCTGGTCAATGGTTGACTTACTAGGTATGAAGCCACACTTAAATTCCAATCGTCGGGCATGCTTTCGTCCGATCGTATTCTGCAAAGTAGCTGATGCGTGCACAATGTCAGCTCTTCACCGCCATGTTTGAATAGTTTTGCCGGTAGGCCGTCAGCTTTATATATTGAATTATAGAAATATAACAAAAAGTAAAAATCAAAGTGAAAAATTATAATAAAAATTATGCATGGGTATTGAAATTGACTTCTTTTTTCACAATTAGGTTAAACGTATCATAATAGCTTGTAGCCTACAGCCAAGGAAAAGCAATATGATGGAATGAACATTGCTACATATGCACTATACTAATTTTTGCCTTTCTATTGAGGATCAATAGAACCATAAATACAATTTTTCGAATAGGTGGGCATAATGCCATTTACGCTCTGCTGCAAAACATTATAAGAGAAGAGCTGGAGAATTTGGTTTTTTCAATGACGAGACGCTTGCAATCAGTGATCGATGCGCATGGTTGCTCGACAAACTAAAATTAGTTATTAAAACTAATATGATAGCCTGATTCAATTTCCACTTTTTTCGAGGAACTGCATTACATGGTGCTGTGGACTTAACATCGCTTAACTCCAGAGATAAAAACGATTTTTTCTCATCAAATAAAATTTCTTTCTCATTTTAAAAATTATCTATTGGGCTGATAATGAATTTATTATTTAAGTTTTATTTATAATGGGTGATTTTTAAGATATTATCTTTTTGGCAACACTGGTTCAAACAGCTGACGCACGTTTCGTGTTTTGTGTTACTGTCTTTAGTTTAGTCTATAACTTAACCATGGATCGTCTTAAAAACGAAAAATGCGTTAAGAATGTTCATCGCACGCTATTTTGGTGCGGTTTATAGGCTGGTGGCATCATTGGACCGTACTTCTTCAAAGATGATGCGAATCGTAACTTAACTGTGATTGGTGAGCGCTACCGTGAGATGATATCAAACTTTTTTTGCCCAAAATGCAAGAGCTCGACTTGCATGGCATGTGGTTTATACAAGACGGTGCCACATGCCACACAGCACGCGTAGCAGTGGACTTGTTGAGAGGCAAGTTCGGTGAACATATTATTTCACGTTCGGAATCTTGCGGTTTAACACTTTTAGACTATTTTTTGTGGGGCTATGTTAAATCGAATGTATATACAGACAAGTTCGCTTTAATTGACGCCTTGGAGGACAACATTGAATAATTTTTCCGTGAGATACAGGCTGATTAGTTTGAAAAAGTATGCCAATATTGCATTTGCACGAATTAATATTTAAACATTAAATTATATAAGCCATACTATCGATTCAAATAGAGATTTCATACATTTTTCTGAATTTTTTATTTCTTAAAAAATCACCTTTAATTATGTTTTAACCATGTAATGTTGAACTTTATGAAATACGTATGTATGTATATACTACTTTAACTTTATGTTGTTATCAGCTGCGATGAAATAATAATTATCATCAAAAGCAGCTAATTAAGCATTGCATAGCATTTTTTTATTAATATAATAGAGGGAGCCAGGAACGTCCACCACGAATTCTGAAGTGTTTGCCATCGAGGCATCCGACATAATGTAGTAGCCCAGTCTTCTTGTATTCTGAAGTAACGATTTTCCATTCACTTTCATTGGAGGCAAATAAATTGTCCATTAAAAATTCCAAATGGCTTGGAAAGTTTCAAAAATTATATTGTGTACAGTCGAGAGGTCAGTTCAAAAAATCCACGCAATAGTTAGCCATTTTGCACCTTGTGCTAAATACCTATCAAGCGTATACATATAATATATGTATATACCAGCTTAATATATAGTTATGTAATAAGTGTATTTACATTAATGTTAACATCAAGCGATACTCCGGCTCTATATGTTTCTTGCGAGAAATTTTGGTTAAATTTTTTTTTAATGTATTAGGTAATATTGTAGTACTAGTGTTCGTTGCCGCATCATATCCTACTATACGGCGCTGAATTTTTGACTGTTTTTCGATTAATTGACTCAGTACGTTGTGAGCGCCGGTCAAAGAGGGATACCAGCAAAGAGAAAATTTGCTACATTTTACAATTTTTCTTCAATCTGCTGTAAACGAACGGATGGCACAAAACTGGCTTGCTACGTTCTGTTCCGGTAATTTCGAAGTCAAAGATGCACCACGCGTCGAAAATTGCGATAAAATCATGGAAATAGTGGAAACAGACCGTCACGTGAGCACTTATTCAATTGCTGAGGAACTAAAGATAAGCCAGTAAATCGTTTGGAACCATTTGTAAAACCTGAGATTCAAAAAGAAGCTCGATGTTTCAAATTTCCATCTGCGAATGCTGCTGAATCGCCACAGAATCGACACGTTTCCAAAACGGATTGTGACTGGCGACGAAAAGTGGGTCGCTTACGACAAAATCGAGCACAAACGCTCTTGGTCGAAGCTCGGGGAAGCGGCCCGGTGGCCAAGGCCGGATTGATGGCCAAGAAGGTTTTGCTGTGTGTTTGGTGAGATTGGCAAGGAATCATCTACTACGAGCTACTTCCCTATGGCCAACGCTCAATTCGGCCCTCTACTGTCAACAAAAGGACCTCTTGAAGGCAGCACTCATAGGAGGTTATCTTTGATCAACAGAGGCCAAATGTGGTTCATCAGGATAACGCCAGGCCACACACGTTTTTGGTGACGCGCCAGAAGCATGGGAGGTCGTCATGCACCCATTTTATAGTGCGGACTGGCACCACCATCTTTTTCTGTCCATGGTGAACGCGCTTAATGGTGAGAAGTTTCAGGCCAACAAAGGCGTGTGAGAGGCCTGTGAAAATCGGCTCTCCGAGTTTTTTGCCTATAGTGAAGCAGCCGTCTACGAGAGGGGTATAATGAAGTTGGCATCTCGTTGGCAACAAGTACGTATATAATATATATTTTTGCAAAGTTCCCCCCAGCACACAAATAAATAAATGTCGAATATTGTAAGCAGGAAGGAAAAGAGTATCACAGAGACAGTCATTACGAAAGCCGTATTGAGTTTGCAGCGGAAGTCACTCTTAATATCAGCTGTAACTGATATGACAGCTGATTTAAAAAACTGCCACTGCCACTGCCGCTGCGATATTATGTTTTGGGCTTGAATTTTCTTTGAGCTCGGAGAAACTTTCTCGCTAGTTTTACAATATGCTTAAATAAAATAGTAGTTATATTCACGAGTACTTCTTATGCTAAGTGCTCACGTATATAACATGGTCTTCCTTACAAAATACTAAGGAGGATATGTGAAGAAGATGACACTTTTAAATGAACAACTTCAACAAAGCAAACATATGTACATACTAAGAAAAACATAATACGACAGTAGCGGCTGTCGTAATTATGATACACATTTTTGTCGATGTAAGAGCAGCTGTAATAAGTATTCGAAAATCAGACATCTGGCACGCACATTTATGTTGAAACAAAACAAGAGCGGTAATAATAAATATATCATAACAAAATAACAGCTACATGAATGATACAAAAAAAAGTACAGTATTTCCTGTAAGAGTTCTGCCAATAATTATTATGTCGCTTTAACATAAGATGACCAACAAATTGAAATAGTTTATGAGTAAAAAATTATATTAAAGCGGTAGTCTAGAAAAGTGCTCGTTACCACATCTACATATGTCAACTAGTGTAATATGTAGCAAAACAATAATTCTTTGATAGCAAATGAAATTTTAAATTCAATATACCTTGGATGTAACTTTTTAACATTATTCAATTTTGTTATACTAAACGCCACAATTCCTTTGCATAGAAAAGAAAAACTTAAAATATTTTTGGTGATTTAGTAGATAAAGATGTTTTAGAACTAGTAAACAATGCCCTTTACTATTAATACTAAAACCAAACGGTGATTTACGTATATGTGGGAATTATAAAGTTACCATAAACGTAAGTAAGGTAACTCGTTTGCTAGAAAAACATGAAGACGCAAAACCACAAATTGGAGGAGGAGTTCGGCCGAAAATCGCTTCAGTAATTACAAAGCACAGATTATGTATATATATCTTTACGTACCCAATGTTGTTGTTTGTCAAGAAGTCGTCAAAGTTTTCGATGAAGATTAGGCGAGCACATCCGATATAAAGCACAGTTTCGTCTAAAGAACTGGGAAAAACAAACGAATTTCTTTGATGGTGACAGCAAGAATGCAACTAAAGGAATTTGGACTGTTCGGTTTTAAATACAAAATCGAATACATAAACGCAACATTAAATGAAGCTGACAATTGGTCAAGACTTTCACAACATGAGTATGACCAACGTAACAATGCGAAATCGTTCAGATGCCAAATCAAAGCTCAAAATATTCTTAATTTCAAAGCGACAAAGGTAAAAAAATGAAAGGTGACCATTTTCGTCTCTTCTAAACATCGGAAAAATTTTGTCGTTTCGGAAATGTAAATAAAATTGTGAGTGATAATGGTCGATACTTTGTTTTAAAAATTAAAAATATTTTTGTTCCTGTACTTACGACTCTAGGGCACCCATCGACAAAGGCCAACGCGAAAACTTCGTCAAACCTCTGAAGAAAATGAAACGAATTTCAATGCAGTCTTGAACAGCTTTTTGATGGATGATACTACCATTACTACAAAATAATCGCCCGCTAAGCTAATGTTATGCAGATCTGTTACGACTCGGTTGGATTTGGTTAAATCACCTTTAATTAGCGACAACTGTTTACAAAGCAAGAGAAAGATAGAGACACTATCGTGGCAAGAGAAAATGGTTATATTAAAAATGTTAATGATATCTCCAGCGACAACTCAATCTAGTATTTGTCCGCGAAGTTATCATTAAAATCACAATAACAAGTTAATTAAAAGACACGCTGTTCAAATGAAGATACTCAGGCGTTGAGTATGAAGACGAAATTTTCGTGACCTTTCACCGGGATATAACAACACATGTATATAATTTTCTGTTTTATTAATGTCTACTAATTTTTTTTTACATTGATTTTTCTTCCCACCTTTTCTTAACATTAAATTGCTTTTCGTGCTTTCATTTTTATTAATTTTTTTGATTCACTCATGTTCTTTGATTACCTTATCAAATTCTTTACTTACATTGGCAGTGGGTAGCGGCTTGTGGTTTGAGGAACTAATTATATACGTGTAAGTTCGCAAACAACATTGTCATCAAGGGTAAAGACATAAGGTTCTTTTGCATCCTGCTTCTCACCTGCAAAAACACTTCCTCCTTCTTTCGAAGCTGGTTTTAGTGGATTAAGATGTCTACGAATAATTCTATCTTTTTATAAACAGTTATATGACAATGCTCCTACCTATTTTATTTTTGTAGCCAGAGACTATTTTAGCTTATTCAGATTGATATAGTCACGAACATGTACTTTCTGCCCTGGAGTTAAATTTATTAAACCTTTTCCTCTTATGATCCTCAATACTTTTCTCTTGACTTTGTAAATTTTTCTCAAATGTAGTTCTAACGGATCCGTCTAGGAAAAGCATTATTGGTGTTTGCTTGGTGAAACAATGAGCTGTGTTTTGGTAGTCTATCAGAAATCTGTTAAATATGATATGAAAGCTCTGGCCCTTAAGGTTTTCCTATCTATGAATTTTAAAAATCATGAATGCGATTACTGTTTGTTTAATGGAAGGAGATATTTCGTCTTCTCCTCGTTCACTAAGAGACCCATTTGCTTCGCCTTTTTATCAAGTCTAGAGGAAGCAGAACTATGTATTTGTACATTCTTGTAAAATATTTTACCTTCTCTATTCAGCTCTGCAGCTCTTATTATATCCTTAAGCTTCAAACTGATATCACACGATCGGAGAGTTCTTTCAACTCTGACTGCGCTTCTGGTGTTGTTTAGCGTCAGTTTACACAGCCGTATAAGTCTTGCGGGAATACTAAATTCAGACAAAGCGTCGTATGGGCAGCTCCTTTTCGTGCTATCGAAGGCTGCTTTAAAATCAACGAAGAGGTGGTGAGTCTTTTACAAGATTTCGAGCCTGGTACAAAGCCACACAGATAGGGTACAGTCGGTTTGTAGGTGGGCTTCAGCTTTTCGCAAAATACGATTAATAGGAGTTAATAAGCGATGTTAAGGAGGCTTATTCCACGGTAATTGGCGCAGACTGTGGTATCGCACTCCACCGCCATTTTTGAATAGCACTGTCGGTAGACCGCAAGCTCCATACGCTTTGTTGTTCTTGAAGTAATTGCGTTTTTAATAATACAAAAGTATTTTTTATTATATTATATTATATGTGGTTAGGCTCTTTTGTTGTTTTTGTGCTAGAGGCGGTTTTTGTTGTGCTAGTGTAGGGCAACGCGTTCACCCCATTAAGGTAATCGCTTCTTTAATTTTATTGTTATTTAAATTTTTTTGCTTTTCTTTCCCTTTATTCCACGGTAATTGGCGCAGACTGTGGTATCGCACTCCACCGCCATTTTTGAATAGCACTGTCGGTAGACCGCAAGCTCCATACGCTTTGTTGTTCTTGAAGTAATTGCGTTTTTAATAATACAATAGTTTTTTTCTATTATATTATATTATATGTGGTTAGGCTCTTTTGTTGTTTTGGTGCTAGAGCCGGTTTTTGTTGTGCTAGTGTAGGGCAACGCGTTCATCCCATTAGGGTAATCGCTTTTTAATTTTATTGTTAGTTAAATTTTTTTGCTTTTCTTTCCCTTTGTTTAATTTATAATTTATCTTAGTGAAAATATATGTATCTTTTTCTATCGAGTATACGTTTTCTGTTTTTTCTTTTTCATGGAGATAAATCGTTTGGCACAGGCTGAGATATACGCTTAGAGCGTCGCGTCTTCTAGAGAATAAATGTTCGGTAGACCTATTGCAGGAGTAGAAAGGGGAGGTGAATCGAATAATCATAAAACTCAGAGATACGATCAAGCAGTGTGACCAGCTGCAACAAACGCATCGATATAATTTAGTTTCACTAACAAGAAAACTTATCTCAACGAAATGAAATCGTTCATTGTAAACGTTATCTTTAAAATGGCTCATTGCTATGATTAACGTTTAACAATTTTAATGTAAATATTTTCAAATGTTTCAACCGATTCGATTGAAATTTTACTATGCAGATTTTTTATCATCCGCTTCTGGGAATGAGGACACTGAATGAAAAACTTCGAGCTGAACAACAGAGGATTTAAATTAATAGAATATTCAAACGATAAAAAAATATGTAGCGGCTTAGATTTATACTAAGCCGAACTACAAGATGAATGCTGAATAAGGAATAGATGAAACAATTAGCTTGATCTACAGCTAAATGGTAAATATAATATACTTGAAAAAGCCCCATATTTTCTTAGAAGATACATTTATTATTTTTTTTTTTTTTGGCTCAAGTGTGTAAGTATTTTTTTGTTTTGTATTTCAGTACCAGATGATACATATATCAAAAAGACTATATAATACGAATTTCCCATTTACAAAGCATTTTCAATTCAAATCAGCACAAATAAATTAGACTTATGCAAAATATTATAAAATCAAAGGAAATGTACATATATTTGAAATTATCTTGATCTACTTTTTAAAAATATGTATGTATTGTGTTGTTAAAGCTACAATTAAAAGATTATACACACAGTGAAGAACGAGACTTAAGTCTACATTTACAAACTATGCAGCATACTAAAAATATCTGAACTCTCCTTTCTTACCCTGGTGCTTATTGCGGATCCAATTAGTAGTATGCTGTGATCGAAGTACTTCAATATTATCCTAAAAAATATACAATAAGAATTGACATAGCCCTCAGTTATTGCAAATTATACTTACACTGAGTATTGTATTTGTCGTATACCTAGGTTGTGCATAATTGATATATCCTTTTTGCTGTTGTTGAGCATGTAGTTGTAAATAAAACTGATGACTTGCAGGTTCATTGCCATAGTTATATGGCGCGACAATAGTGTGTGGCACATGAGCTATTTGACCTCGTATATTGCGAGCTTTCCACCATTTTCGAGTATCATCCAAAACCTATAAAATGCACAATAATAACAATTTAAAATCCATAACAGCTCAATGTGGTAAACAGTTCAAGTTTGAGAGTACTTTTAATATACAAAATACATGAAATAAAAAAAAAAAAATTACAAAGAGCGACTGCTACAGTTGAGCACGTAGCGATGACAGTTACATGGTAGTCACATATTTTACAATTATATAAGGTGTACTCTACAAATTTAGTCAGAAATTAGGTAAAAGATCGTTTTAAGGGCAAGCCAAATAGTGCTCAAAAATATTAATAACTCTCAACGCAAGACTGATTCGAATCGAGTTGAATTTGTAGACAGAGATGCCCTATTTGTACTTACTTCTAAATATTCTCCTCGAACGACACTAAGCTCTTTATCGTTGTTCGCAGTACGTGGATATGTAACTAACACGATTTTTGCACCGCCTGTCTGCAGATCATCCAGCCATGCTTCCACCAATTGCTCATTATTGTTGGTGTTATCACGACCGGAGTATTCTGTCATCAAATTATTAATCCGGCCACTGGTAGAGGCTCTGGCGTTGTCACGTGCGCGCAATTTCTGTCTGTCGGTTGATAATGCCTGGATGTTATCGGCGGTTTTATTGTTTATAAGTAAGCCATGTGAGCCACCACCACCACCACCACTCCTTTCTATCGAATCAATTGAGATTTCGCTACGTGTGCTAAGATCACCCGGTCCACAATCTAATCCACCACTTAAACTTGCAGACTCAATGAGTTTTTCTTCTCGTTCATAATGATTTGTTTCATATTCTTCGGTTTGTCCTATATGTAAAACTGGGTGGCTTATATTGTTATTGTCACCAGTAACTCCAGAACCTCCGTTTAAATCGCTGTATACAGCATGTATCATATTTAAATTAATTTGAGCTTCGAATCGGCGCTTGTTGATATGACTTGGAGTATTCATTGTTTCTAATTCATCAATTACCAAATAGTCTGGGGACCATCCATCCATAAATACGGGGTGGTAAGAACCAACATCATTTTTCCACTGATCCCGTGGTACAACCCAACAGTCACCGAGCGAGTGCCATAGTTCAGTTTCTTTGCTAGTGACGCAATTGATTAAAAGATTTATGGCTTCGCGAGTAAGCAGTGGATTGACCACGCGTGCAGGAAGATGAGAGTCGTAATAGGTGTCACTAGATGCCTCAACGATAAGTGCCAAAGGAGTGAATAGGAAATGAACAAGTTCAGGTGCGTTTGGGTCGTGAATGTGAGCTTTTAGCTTGGCCAACAAGTTAAAAGAAAGTTTAAATTTTGCAAAAATATCTATAAACTCTTTTTCATATGGAGGTCGAGTGCGTAACGTTAATAACCCTTCACCTGGATCCTTTCTCTTTGTTTTACGATTGCGACGCCGACGCTCTAGCTCACGGGATGCCGCAGCCACATGTTGAAGGCGTGCTATAAATTTTTCTATATCATCAAAACAATGGTTCAAAACCGTCACATCACGCTCATATTTGTCACTTGATATCGAACTTATCTCATCATTTAAGCCGCCGTGGTCTGAATCCGTTTCGCCAATACCGCCTCTAGCGTGGCTACTGTCTATCAAAGGATTGCGGACGTGTAAGTCCCCATATTGATCAACACTGTTACGCGATGGAATGAGAGTGTTATTCTGCTGTGTTTGCTGTTCACTATGACTATGCAGTCTATGTGAAGCTGGAGATAATTTAGCAAACCCAGCACCAGAAGCCCCAAAGCTGCTTTTTGAGCTTAGTTGCTGTTGTTGTTGCAATAAACTTTTTCGTTGCTGTGTCACATTTTTACCGTTTCGCAAGTTCTTTAAGTCCTCAACTAAATACAAGGCGGATACACTTTGAGACTTAAATTAAGAAATTAATCAAAACATTTTATTAAGTCTATAATGATATAAGTCACTAGATGTTTTTGAAATAGGTATATCACCTGAAATATGTGCATTTCCGACCGAGAACCACTTCCACCGGACACTATGAATACCAAGATATTGTTATACAATTCCATCGCGTCAGCAGATGTAAATGCTGTTGGTTCTTGAATTAGAGACGCAGGAAATCTCTCGATGATGTTCTGCGAGTTAGATAATAAATATGTACAAAATGTTAATTCGAAAAAAGACAACAACACAATTGAGATATAGAACGTTCTTACACCAGTTTCATAATCCATTATAAGCACCCATTGGTAGTCCAAACATAATTGCATTTTCTGTGACCATATACCAGTGGTTTTCTCCAACTGTAACAGCCGTCTCATGCCATCTGCTGGATAAACAATGCCTGATTCTTTATTCACTGTAAAAGTAGCTAAATGCTCTAGAAGATATATGGGCTTGTTATTCAGACTGCTTTTGGGACGATCATCTCCGTTGCGTGCATCTCGCTCGTCGCCGGAATATTCACTGGAGCCCAGCTCTTCACCGATACCACTAATTGCAGCACTATTCGAGTTATGATAAGCCATACCGTAGGAATTTCATTAACACTGATTATTCGTTTTAAGCTGACCAACGAAGAAAAAAATAAAGAATAAATAAGATGTAATTTTTGTTTCTTTAGCCGGTCATTATTAACTTATTAAAGCCAATCTAACAACAAATAAATTAATTTGAGGACCTGAGTGTGGGCGGCACCACAGTGAGTGCTCAAGAGATATTCACTGTGGTTTCCCATAAAAGTCTTTTAATTGCCTTTTTGTTTGTTCTAATACATATTTTGACACATTTAACTGGCTTAATTGCATCTTGACAGCTCACAAGAAAACTAATACATATCCCTATTGAAACACCTACCCACATAAAACCTTTCTAACATCAGCATAAAAAAGGGATATATCTATATTAATTCGGATTTATACAAAACTTCATACAAAGACGAGTTGACTTGTTCCAGACATGTCTACAGTTAAATCTAAGCCTTCGAACGGGTTTTAATGAGGAGCTTTGTTTCAAGTCAGAAATATAATCGGAGGGCATTCACTGCCGAAGGGCCATCGCATTGTATTTCTTGTAAACTACTAAGCAAATTATCATTTAAAAAAGAGATTTTTACCGAATAGATTAAAATTGCGAAAGGGTTGAAAAGGTATTAATATATTACTTTAAAAATTTATTTATTTACTTTTAAATTGAAATAAAAATGCATTATAACTTTTTTTCTCTTTATTCAAGCTTAAATTTTTTTGTTGAAAAATTATTGTACTGTGTTATTACTTTTCTTTGTAACGGCATAAAAATATGTGAATGTAAATTTATTCATACCTATTGTAATTTTCCATACTTAAAATATGATTATTTTTTTGAAATTTACTGCTTAAATCCTATAAAAAATGGGAAAATGAGATTTTGTAATTAATTGCCATTAAGCGCGCACCGGGGAGATAAATAATAAAAAGCATAATAATAATAATTATATATGATAGTTTTATACATATACAAATAGCGGACATTGGATAAAAAATATATTCTGTCATCAAACAAAAAATTAGATAGTAATAAAAGTTTTATATTAATAATAAAATAAACAATTGTACAGTTATACTCGAAACGCGAGTGGTTTTATTTCGAATGGCTTACGAAGGGACCCTCGCCTAAATATGGTCCTTTAAGGCAAAAGTTGAGCCTATCTATGGCCACAAGCAAAAAACAAGAATAAAGTGAAAGACATTATAACTATTTTTGGAAAGTGCAGACTGTTCGCAATGACCATCAACAAAAAACTATATGAAGAATTGTGAAGATAGATAAAATGTGAGTCAACTGCAATAAATAAAAACTATTAATAGTGTCACATATAAAACAAGCTCTACAAAAAAAAAGCCAACAACATTGATTTGTTGGATCGAAAGTTGCAGCATCAGCATCAACAATATCAGTCACACAGTAAATATTCTGATACCAAAACCCAACAACAAGAATGAGAATTCAGAGCGATAGGCGGATGATTGAGCGACCAACAAATTCTATAAACACACCACTTACTTTTAAACAATAAACGTAATAATTGTATAAGTTTAATAAATTTCCATTTTGAAATATTTTTATACGAATTTTGAAAATAAAGGAATTCAGATCTGCTCATAATATTCTGCATTTTTACATTCACATGCAAAAGCAGCAAACCATAAAATCTCCCACGATATTGTGGCTATATTGTAATACATAACTTTTATATGTACATATGTTTTTAAGAAAATAAACTTTGGTTTCCCAACAAAGTAAAAATTCCAAAAAACTATACTTGCTTTACCAATAGCAATAAATTTTAATAACGCGATCTTGAAGGTTGTTGACCTCAGTTTCGATTTTCAGTAGCTGCTAATTAGGCATATGTACAGACATATATATATATCCAAGAGAATTTATTTATGAGTGTTCTGATGTTCACTTATTAAAGCATTGGCATTCTACTGTGTCATTTCTCCTTTTTGTATTTCAACAAAAAAATGTTTACAAGAAAGTTAGTTTTCTCAAAAAATAGTACATCCACCCCCGCGATCACTTTGCTAACATATTTACATCCATATAATAAAATTTTGACGACAACCTCTTTCTTTTTTTATTTAAAGAGTAGTATAAACGCACAAATTCCCTCTTCTGCTCTGCTTTTCAATTTCCTATTGTGCTTTCTCAAGCCCGACTCCAGCATAACAGCGAACACTCAACCGCACATATAGTGCAGCCCCTCAGTGCATTAAAATATCAGTTGATCTACTCGCTCTCAGTTCAGCTGAAACATTACATTGCAAGCATACGCACAAATATTCATACATACAAACTGTATCCCAACCCAGCAGTAAACACTTCTGGGTCATTTTATATTCAAGTAGTCCTAAACTACACCCGAGTTCCTGCAACATTAGTTCCCCGAGTCTAAGTGCAGACTTGTTTAAAAACAATAAATTTTAATAAAAAGTATTTAAATAAATTTAAAATAACATAATGCCAAAAGATCAAAGCCCTCAGCTAAGTATCTCCTCCAAGATACCCCCCAAGAAATCTCTAACACAGCTTAAGGCACAGCCCCCACCAATTGTGCTTCTCCCCATGTAGCAGCTGAAAGCAAAATGGAGCATCAAGTCACAAAATGCAAACCACACTACCCGTGAGCGCAAATATTCCACAAAACAAATGATGGCTTAATGAGATATTGTGCCAGATTCAACTCGTCCCCCATAGAGAAGTTTTCAGAAAATCTCGCTAAAATTAAAAATAATTATCTTTATGATTGGTATAAACAAGTTCAAGACGCATACGATGTCTTATTCCTAAAAGACAAAGAAGACCTCCCACGAATTTTCTTGTGCTTGCGGAAGGAAAGTGTCAATTTAGCCTTGATTCTTATGAAGTAACCAAAGGAAAAATTGCTGAGCAATTTTAGTTAATTAGTGTAGTGAATCAACCAATTTCTAGTTCTCAAATAGAACCCAGATCCAAAATAGATGAACAACCGGAAGTATATCTCCAACTTCCGCCATGTGACACTGAAAGCTTTTATAGTGGATACGATGAGTGGCCGTCTTTCCGGGACATATTCACTGCCGTAAATATAAAATACCCTCTGCTGTCTCCAGCTCAAAAACTATACCATCTCCTGTATAAGACAAGAGGCCAAGCAGGTGATATAGTTAAACGATTCACTTTAACTAACGACAATTTCCAATGGGCATGGGATGCTCTCTACTCCCGATACGAAAACAAGCGCCAATTAGTCGACAATCAGGTCACAAAATTATTGAACTTACCCAAAGTTCGAAAAGAAACCAGTGAAGAGTTTATTGATTTGTATTCCTCAATCACAAATTCTTTATTAGTGCTCGAAACTCTTGGCACACCCACTGATAGCTGGGACCCAATTCTGGTCAATATATGTTCATCCGCATTACCAGAAAGTTCACTAATGCTATGGGAACAATCTCTTGTATCCCGAAAGCAGTGCCCAACATGGCAACAAATGAAAGAATTCCTCTACAGGCATTTCGAAATTAAACAATGCGTTGAACACAAGGTCGCGAATTCTCTTATTTCGCATTACATATCTAAGCCTATTCTTTCCCCACAGAATAGCCCCCAATCGTGCAAATTGTGCAAAAGGAATCACTCGTTAAAGCATTGCAAGTTATTTAAAAAATATCCGATACCCCAACGGTATAAATTTATAAAACGTAACAACATTTGTACAAATTGTCTGGCGTTGCACCATACCCTCAAACGGTGTACACCACCACATACATGCTTGCATTGCCAAGAGATGCACAACACTCTTTTGTATATAAGCCCAACGTGTCCAGATAAAGACAAACAGACACACTTGACCACCCCGACTCAAAGTATGCAAAAAAATGCGATATTGACCTCTACGAGTCAAAATATACAGAAAACTGTAATGATCAGCCCAGATCATAATTCCCAATCGGTCAGCAGAAATAATATGCAATCGCACTACTCAAGTCATGAGAAGATCTGCTCAATGCATACTACCCTAGATCAGATGTTTCAAAAGGACGCATTACAAATAATTTCTACAAGTCCAGTAGAACAGGCTCCTATCGGCAGCATGACACACATTCATGTCTGCATTTTCAAAATATTAAAAAACAAAAAAATTAGGAAAAAGCACTTTTTGCTGCAGTATACTTCCGTTGGTTCCATCACACCCAACTGCCCATCGTGCAGGGTTGTCAAGCAAAATGAGATCTTTTAATCAACTGCCATCAAGCGCACAACGGGGTGATAAATAATAAAAAGCATAATAATAATAATTATATAGAATAATTTTATACATAAACAAATAGCGGACATTGGAAAAAAAAATATACTTTGTCATAAAACAAAATATAAGATAGTAATAAAGGTTTAATATTAATTATAAAATATACAATTGTACAATTATACTCGCAACGCGAGTGTTTTTATTTCGAATGGCTTACGAAAGGACCCTCGCGTAAATAAGTAGCTTTATTTCATGACAAAAAGACACTCGAAGGGGATGCCATTCCCTGCCGAATAGCAACCTAGTTTTTTATTTAAAATAATTTTCTAAAACGTTTTGGATGTTAGTACGACATCAGGACTTGCACTCGATCCTTCCGAATGGCAATACGGAATGCTAACCACCCGGCTACCGCCGCCGTCTGACAACTAAATACAACTAATTTCAAAATTATTTTATAACTACTTTACAAAGCTTGGAGCTAATTAAACTGCCTTGGACCGCCATTAAGAAGAGAATTAGAATGGTAAAGAGTCAAATTCTTACTTACTCTGTGTAGGTGTATTCACTCAAACGGAATCTCATGTCGACTGGTGATAGTCCGGTAACACAAAATTAAATTATGCGTGCTTTGCAAAAAAAGGAAAGAAAGAGTGCTCTAATAAAAATAAAAAATGTAGATCGCCAAAGAAAAGTTAACTTAGGAACTCTTAAAATAAATGAATAAACACCACCTGCCGGCTCCTGAGCCCACTCTTCTGCTTTCTTTTCTTCCTGAAATTGTAACTTTTA